ACTGGTAGAAGAGTAGGGAAGAAGTGGTGTGAAAAAAAAGGAAGGGAAAGCAGCCAACAAAATGTTCATTGTTTACTAAGTTACCACTGTGGGCATTGGGAGCTTGATCAGGTTGAGTAACTTAAGAAACCAGTATAAATCTTCAGTGTTATGCTACCAGAGGATTTATTAGAGGTGAGAGCAATGTAATTCCCCAAAATGTTGGCTTGCCAAAGTGTTCAGTGTACTCTCTGGCAAAGAAATGCAAGTGCTGGCAGTTGGAGGTATCTGTGAGGAGATGCACGTAGGACGTGCACAGCAAATGCAACACCTATGTCTTAAATTACGGTTATTGGAGTGTAGACTATTTGAGGTTAGGGGCTATAAACTGTCCTAATTTTACATAAGGCGTTTGATAAATATGTGTTTCTAGAGAAGTGTTCATACATGTAATTTTCTTACTAGAAAGGAAGTAGGACACCAGCCTTCACATTTCAGAGTGTTAGCAAATAGATTAATTCTTACTATTTTCTTTCATTGAAGTAAGTGTTTATCTTTCTTGCAATAAAACACAAGTATAGATCACTACACTGTGTATTCCTGGATTGATGAGCTCTCGGAAGCACTGAGTCCTTTCAGGTGTGGGTGGAATGCCACTGTTCTAGCTCGAGCAGTGCTTCTCAAACTTTAATGTGCTCACAAATCAAGGAAGCATCTTGTAAAAATACAGATTCTGGTTCAGTAGATCTGGGGTAGGGCCCATGATTCTTCTTTTCTATCTGGCTCACTGATCCTCAGACCACGCTTTGAATCACAAAAGCATAGGTCATAGAATTAACAGTGTGGTTCCTTGGGTTACGGGTTCATTGAATGTCTTTGCTGTACAACATTCCAAAAGGTTTCAACTCCATTTCCACTGCTGTGCCAGAGCCAGCTTATTATACTGGCTCCCAAGAGCCAGTTAAATTTTCAGGAATTTGACAAGTCAGTTGTTAGCTTGGAATCAGCCATGGTGGGAGTACTTACACCACACAAGTCAGCAAATTCTACAAGTCAGAGTTCATGTTTTCCAGAGAGATGGTTGACCAGTATATGCATCCTTGTTGCTTCCAACCCCGAATACTACTCTGTCCCATCAGGCACGCACCCAGAAGACTATGAAGATCCTTCGGTCTTTTGAGATATTGGTAGAAGTAGGGGGTGCTACAGAGGGTAAGAACACAAGAATCTCTGAGTAGAAATCAAGGAAGAAATACAGACACAGGTAATTGTTGTTGTTGTTGTTGTTGTTGTTATAAGTTGTTTCATTCTTGAGAATTTATTCTTTTTTAAAAATTTTTTTAATTTTTGTTTTATTTATTTATTTATTTATTTATTTATTTATTTATTTATGTATGTTTGAGATGGAGTCTCACTCTGTCATCCAGGCTAGAATGCAATGGCAGGATCTCGGCTTACTGAAACCTAAGCCTCCTGGATTCAAGCAAGTCTTCTGCTTCAGCCTCCCTAGTAGCTGGGACTACAAGTGTGCACCACCACACCCGGCTGATTTTTGTATTTTTAGTAGAGATGGGGTTTCACCATCTTGGCCAGGCTGGTCTCAAACTCCTGACCTCAGGAGATCCACCCACCTAGGCCTCCCAAAGTGCTGGCATTATAGGCGTTGAGCCACTGTGCCCGGCCTGAGGATTTATTCTGTGAAAATATTTTAACAGAGCAAAACTGTCTATTACAATATTATCTGTGAAAGTAGAAAAAATGAAGACTGGGTGCAGTGGCTTACACCTGTAATCCCAGCACTTTAGGAGGCCAAGGCAGGCAGATCACGAGGTCTAGAGATTGAGACCATTCTGGCCAACATGGTGAAACCCCATCTCTACTAAAAATACAAAAATTAGCTGGGTATGGTGGCGTGTGCCTGTAGTCCCAGCTACTGGGAAGGCTGAGGCAGGAGAATCACTTGAACCCAGGAGGTGGAGGTTGCAGTGAGCCAAGATCCTGCCATCACATTCCAGCCTGGGCAACAGAGTGAGACTCCATCTCAAAAAAAAGAAAAGAAAAGTAGAAAAAATGAAATATTTTGTATCCATTAAGCAAGATTATTACTAAGCCTGTAGAAATGTATAAAATGTGTATAGATAATGATAAGTGGGGACAAAAGCAGAATACAAATATGATAGTTGTTTTTTATGTGGATTTGTTGTTTCAACTGTGTAGGAACATGGATGCATATAACAAAAACAGGAATGAAATAAATACAAACAAAATCCTGGCTTTATAATGCTAGTTTTAGAGGAAATTTTAAAAAAATTCTGAATATTGTAGCCTATGAAAAATAAAACGTAACAAAACATTTTAACTTGTCTAATTATATTTATTTGTTTATTTATTTATTTATTTATTTATTTATTTATTTATTTATTTATTTTTTGAGAGGGAGTCTCGCGCTGTCACCCAGGCTGGAGTGCAGTGGCCGGATCTCAGCTCACTGCAAGCTCCGTCTCCCGGGTTTGCGCCATTCTCCTGCCTCCGCCTCCCTATAGCTGGGACTACAGGCGCCCGCCACCTCCCCCAGCTATTTTTTTGTATTTTTTAGTAGAGACGGGGTTTCACTGTGTTAGCCAGGATGGTCTCGATCTCCTGACCTCGTGATCCGCCCGTCTCGGCCTCCCAAAGTGCTGGGATTACAGGCTTGAGCCACCGCACCCGGCCTATTTATTTTCAAATTTTAAAAAAAGGTACAACAAAAGTAAGAACAGGAGTCAGGCACAGTGGCTCAGACTTGTAATCCCAGCACTTTGGGAGGCCAAGACAGGAGGATTACTTGAGCCCAGGAGTTTGAGACCAGATTGGGTAACATAGCAAGACCTCATCCCCATAACAAAATTTTAAAATTAGCCTGCTTGGTGGCTCATACTTGTAGTCCTAGTTATTTGGAAGGCTAAGTTGGGAGGACTACTGGAGCCCAGGAGATCAAGGCTGTAGTGAGCCATAATTGCACCACTGCACTCCAGCCTGGGCAACAGAGCAAGACCCTATTTCAAAAGAAAAAAAGTAAGGGTAACCAAGCAAAGTCAGGAGAAATATGAAAAATAGTTAACATTTGTTATGTGTTACATGTGAAAAGCACCATTCTATGTTCTTTATAAGAATTAGCCCAGTTAATTCCCACAACGTATGGTTGAGGAGCTTTTCTTATTGCCATTTTGCAGATGAAAACACTGAGGCACATAGAGGTTTGTAATTTTTCTAAGGGTATACGGCTGGTAAACCACATAGTTAGGTTTCAGACCTGACTCTTGAACTCTGTAAATTCTTGAATCTTCATAAAATAGTTTTTGCAAAGTTCTTTCTGTCTTTATTTATTGATTTATTAAGACGGAGTCTCGCTCTGTATTCAGGCTGGTGTGCAGTGGCGTGATCTCGGCTCACTGCAACCTCCTCCTCCCGGGTTCAAGCAATTCTCCTGCCTCAGCCTCCAGAGTAGCTGGGACTGCAGGCACATGCCACCGCACCCAGATAATTTTTGTATTTTTAGTAAAGACGGGGTTTCACCATGTTGGCCAGGATGGTCTCAATCTCTTGACCTCGTGATCTGCGCACCTCGGCCTCCCAAAGTGCTGGGATTATAGTTGTGAGCCATCATATCTGGTGAAAGTTCTTTCAGAAACAATAATCCTTTCTGGAGCAAGAAAGATTCAGCCATAATTTGTTTGTTTGTTTTAAAAAATAACTTTGACCTGTGAGAGAAAAGTGTAAAACTAAAGGCAATTTCTAATAGACTCAACAGTCACTCTGCAGAAATAATCAGTTCCTTGCTGACTAGGGTAAGAAGAGGCTTCCCCACTCTTCTAGGCTGAGCCACAGTCAGGTTCTAGGGAATCTTCTAGACCTCTCCACTTCATGTTTCTTCCCAGGAGCCAGAAGATAGGTCACATGGTTTAAACGTAGTATGTCAGCAAGCACCCAGCCTGTCTTTCCTCATGCTCTTCATCTGCTAATTGGGATGACTAGTATATTAACCCTATTGCCTTCAGTTGCCTAGGAGAGCAATATACGAAGACTATTCATTCAACAAATGTCCTAAAATCCCACAGTATAGGAATTCTTAGAAAATGTATGATATCAATATAAGTATGTATAGGCCAGGCGTGGTGGTTCATGCCTGTAATTCCAGCACTTTGGGAGGCCGGGGTGGGCGGATCACTTGAGGTCAGCAGTTCCAGACCAGCCTGGCCAACATGGTGAAAACTTCTATGAAAAAATAGAAAAATTAGCCAGACGTGGTGACATGTGCCTATAATCCAGCTCCTTGGAAGACTGAGGCATGAGAATTGCTTGAACCCGGAAGGGGGAGGTTGCAGTGAGCCAAGATCGTACCACTGCACTCCAGCCTGGGCAACAGAGTGAGACTCTGTCTCAAAATAAATAAATAAATAAAAATAAAATATAATTATGTATAAATATAAAGTATAATCCTTTCACATACGGCTTAAGAAGAAATTTTATTTAGTGAAATACCATTAATTGTACTGTGACTAGCACAGAATATCAATTGTCCTGTTGAATATAGTGGACGTAATTCCTAGCCTTTTTCTTTAAAAATGTAACATACTGGCCGGGCGCAGTGGCTCACACCTGTAATCCCAGCACTTTGGAAGGCCAAGGCAGGTGGACCACAACATCAGGAGTTCAAGACCAGCCAGGCCAATATGGTGAAACCCCGTCTGTACTAAAAAATACAAAAATTAGCCGAGCCTGGTGGTGCGTGCCTGTAATCCCAGCTACTCAGGAGGCTGAGGCAGGAGAATTGCTTGAATCTGGGAGGTGGAGGTTCCAGTGAGCCGAGATCACGCCACTGCAGGGCAGCGTGGGCAACAGAGAGAGACTATTCCATCTCAAAAAAAAAAA